GATGCCGATGAAAGATGATTGTATACAATGGATAGTATCATCAAAAATTCGCCAGAAGTTTGACGATGTGGTATAAGTAGAGAATGCAAGAAACGCAAAGACCACGAGAAAGTAAGAGATGTGGAGGTGAGTCCTACAAGAAAACCACGGTATAAACGACTTAAACTAGAAAGGAACATTTTTTTCCTTCAGGAAGAAAAATGACACTGATTACAAGTAATAGATTAAAGGAATAAAAACTGAGAGACAAGTAGGATAAGCCGAGGAACGGAAATCGAGCAAAACTTCTTGTACAACAACAATACAAATGGCATTCAGAAACTCCAGCAACAAATGCCCTCTGGGAAAAGGCAGTGTCAGTATAAAGCAATGAAATCTTTGGAGAAATAGTTTACGAGTAAATTCCATTCAAACTGATAATAGAAGCATTGAGGGGTACAGGTGTTTATCTCTAAAGGAATATGGTCAGGTAGTTGGGTAGCTAGTTGTAAGATGTGAACACTGCACTGCATTAATTTTTAAATCACCCTGATCAAATCACAGGAGACACAGGAGATTAGTTTCTTTTTTTTTAATTTTTCTCTTCAGTGTTTATTTATTTTTGAGAGAGTGAGAGAGACAGAGTGCGAGTAGGGGAAGGGACCGAGAGAGAGGGAGGCACAGAATCGGAAGCAGCTCCAGGATCTGAGCTGTCAGCACAGAGCCCGACGCCGGGCTCGAACTCATGAACCGCGAGATCATGACTTGAGCCGAAGTCGGACGCTTAACCGACTGAGCCCCCCAGGCGCCCCGGGAGATTAGTTTCAGCGTAGAAGGTAAATATGAGCACTTTGAGCCTGCACATAAATAAAGGGAAGGACAGAAGGTTGGAGTCGAGAGGCAGGCACTGTGGGCACGGGGGGTGGCGGGCGCTGTGGGCACGGGGGGTGGCGGGCGCTGTGGGCACGGGGGCCGGGACACTTGAGATGCTCAGACCCTCCCTCTGGCAGCAGCAGGACCAAAGGATACAGGTCATCATGGAACAAGAAGTGAGTGTTTAAGCCGATTGTCTGAAATTGCCCAGGTGACCACAAAAGAAAGGACCTCCTGATAAAAGCACACAGGAAAGAGGAGACAAGGCTACTGGGTGGTAATGTACGTGAATTAATAGATTAGGTCGGAAGTTCATAAACCCGGAGACAGCAACGTAAGGTTACTTAAAGGTCAGAGGTAGATGTGAGAAGGAAGAAAGATCTAAGCCCTGACCTCTGGCCCGTGGAGCTACGGATGAGGCAGGAAGCAGGAGACAGCGAGGTGTTTATTACAAGCCCTTCTGACTGATTTCCCCTTCAAGTGTGCAAGTTCAGCTTTGGTCATTACTCCTCGTGTATTTCCAGTGATTCTGATACGTGCACGCCACACCTCCACTCGCTGCCCCACCTGAGAATCGCTGCTCGGGTCTCCTCCTAATGGAGCTCCCGATCGGTTAGGCAAAGTCGTGTGTCCACGGAATAAAACTTTAAAAATATGATGACACAAAGCAGTGATTGCCAGTGGATAACCTTTGAAATTTCCAGTAGTCCAATTTTCTTTTCTGAAATGTAAGAGTTTACTTTTTTCTTTTCTTTTGTCTTTCTTACCTCTTTATTTTTCCAGGATCCCATGTTTTTCTTCCTTGTCAGCCCTGACAACACTGAATTAGCTCTACATGCTAAATGGGGACTGCTAAACTCTCCCAGAGAACCACAGGAAGCCACAAAATGCCAACATGCCGTAGTCAGGCAATCAATTTATTTTTTATTGCTACAGCAACTCCAAAAGAAAACAAGAATTATCTGTTCCAAATGCATACACATGGATGAGCCCTATTTAAAAACAACCAGAGACTTTGGGTGAGAAGCATCCCGGTGATGATGTTAATTCCATTCCAGATTTAAATTCTTTGAGAGTTTTCATCTGTGTACAGAATCATCTGATCACTCCATTTTGCTTCTGTGAAAAGCCAGGGGCCCTCTCTCCTGAGGAAGTGTGGCTTTGATGGGGGGCAGAGAATTGACGCAGTATTTTTTAATGCTTGAAAGCGTACCTCTTAACAAAATAATTTCATTTGATTTCACATTTCATTTGCCCTGAAAGCTAATATCTTTATTACTGTTATACTGACCTCTTCTGGAAAAGTTTTAGAATGTCATGCTGATCATACGTTAGCTCCTTTTTTTTTTTTTTAAGTTTACTGTGCCCTGTGGAATGGATATCGTAAAAAACACTGAGGTTTGGTGTAACTGTTCAGAGTTCAGCTGACTGAAGGCTCACTTTATGCAGCTGCTGAGCAAGGAGTTCATAGTCTGGTGGGGAGAACATGTGCATAAACCAATGATAGCAATGTAAATACGAAGAACTCTAAGTTTATAAACACATCTGGGAAGCTGATAGTGACATGAACAGGCTTTGAAAGGTTAAATAGCCATTCGGTTCCCAACAGAAAAGGATGGGAGGTAACTCTAGTCGGAGGCTTTGCCAGGTACCCAATGGCATGTGCTTTCTTACCGCACCTCTGGGGGGTGGGGGGGACAGGAGAGACAGAGCAGCCCAATCATGAAGGTGTTGTGCCCCGTGGAGTGCTGGGAGGGAATTAGCTGTTCTTGGCGTCTCTCTGGCAGTCCCAGGAGTGGAAAATGCAAGTCCCAGGCGAGTCCTGATGTGAGCCCCCAGTCAGACGGGGATCTGCAGAGAAGAGGGAGGGCAGAGCAGGAGATCCTGGGGCTTGCTGCCTGGCGGGCAGGTTGGTGAGGGATGCGCCTACATGGATCTTCCGTAACTTTGGGGAGGATAGAGTCATAAACAGAGAAAGGACAGACGGACGGACCAAAGAGCAGGTTTAGGGAGATGAGTTTAGTTTGGGAGGCAAGCCCAAGATGGTTTGGGGGGATTTAGTCACTGGAGCTCATGTCTACGGTTAGTATCCAAAGTCACAGGAGCTATTAAAAGTGGGACCACTGTGAGGGCGCCTGGGGGGCTCAGTCGTTAAGCGTCCGACTTCGGCTCAGGTCATGATCTCAATGGTTCATGGGTTCAAGCCCCATGTCGGGCTCTTTGCTGACAGCTCAGAGCCTGGAGCTGCTTCAGATTCTGTGTCTCTCTCTCTCTGACCCTGCCCTGCTCTCTCTCTCTCTCTCTCTCTCTCAGAAATGAATAAAACATTAAAAAAATTTTAAAATAAAGTCTCATAGCTTTAAAATGTTGTGATTCCGGGGTACCTGGGTGGCTCAGTTGGCTAAGCATCTGACTTCGGCTCAGGTCATGATCTCGCAGTTTGTGGGTTCGAGCCCTGCGTTGGGCTCTGTGCTAACAGCTTGGCGCCTGGAGCCTGCTTCATTTCTGTGTCTCCCTCTCTCTCTGGTCCTCCCCCACTCATGCTCTGTCTGCTTCTCAAAAATAAATAAACATTAAACATTTAAAATAAACAAAATGTTGTGATTCCACTGAAACATACGAGACGTATATATATGAGTTACAGAGTGAAGCCAGACCTGCACTGAAGACATTTTAATAATTTCAACTATTCTATAAAATGAGAGTCTTTTCCTGGAAGCCCTTCGAATGAAGGACTGAACAGAGAAGTTGGTAGTATTAAATGAGTTTGTAGGTGTGAATGGACAGAAAGGCCACAGATTGACTAACATTTGTATCAAGCAGTCCCCAAAACACGGAAAAGTTCATCGCTACAAAACCAATTTACTGATTGATGAAAAGGTCCCTCAATGCATAACCTTTCGAAGTGTGACATTTCAACCAGAATATTGAGTTAGGAGTTTCCAGTTTTGACTTTCCAGACACACACTGTCACAAAAATACATCTCAGGCCATCATTGTTAAGTATTCTGTGTTTTAATTCAGAATTGATAGTTGTGCTGTAATTATATTGCCATTATAGGGAAAATCGTAGTGGGCAGAGAGTTCATGAAAGATTTTATGAAAGTCTTATAAATAAACGTGTGATTAGCTGAAGCTGTATCAGCTTTTAATTTAAGGCCTGCAGCTGTTCATATCAAATGTCAAAAGACATTAGTTAGGGTTATGAATAAACAGAATAAGAGAAGAGGTCTCCTGAAAAGAAAATAAGATAAATATTAAGCATACGGATTATAATTACACCACTTTCTCCTTTTCAAGGTTTAGTGCTAAAATCCAAATTTCAAATATATAATCCTTTAGCCTGTGTTAATTCATACAGCTCACCAGTCTATACCTAAAGAAGGCAAAATAGAAGGTTGTTTTAAACGCTTGATATTTATTTTCTTTACAGCTTATGAGCATTTAATATGAGTGTTATTCTTTTTAAATAAACACAAAACATCAAGATGGTGATGTTACATTCACAAACTTTGTTAAACACAATACAAATTTAGTTTATTAGTAAAGAACTGTGGTGATTTTAACATGGAGAATTTATTTCCCTCTTTATTAGGATGACAATTCCTTAAGGTTCTCTTCTCAAATATTAAGGTTTTTCACTTCAAAAGACACTTAAAGAAAGTGATCTTTAAGGAGTGACTATTACATGATAATATGCACTTCATCAGAACGAGAAGAGTGTACATGTAATACCAATAAAGTCGTTGAGTTCTAAATGCTGCCGGTTAATTTGAAAGGACTTCTCTGAGATTTTGTCAACATTGGATTCCACTGGAAACTAGTCTGCTTTTTGCTATTCATTTAAGGTAAAGTTTATTTTAGAAAGTTATAATTACACAAGACCATCATGATTCAGGATTTAAATGTTGGTTTTATAAGATTTTTTTTTTTTTTTGGCCACTTAGCGCTGTGTCCTGGAATTGGTGCCCAAACAATTTTAAGTGCGGTCTGAGCTGTTTATGTCATCGAGTAAAATTAGATACGCCTGTTGCTAATACGAGGGAATGAAACATAAGACAAGGCCAAACACGTGAGAGCCAGAGCGGGTGAAGCCTCAGCCCTTCACTCATTCTGCAAGTCGGGGCAAAGCTGGAAACAGTGCGCCGCTGCTCTGGCTGGGGCGGAGGGCAGCTACTGCCCGCCTGCACTTTCTGGAACGTCTAAGGTGAGTCCACAGTTTCAACTCGGGTTTTCTATCATTCCACTTGGGTTCTTAAAGCATCCTTAACCATGTAACAGCTTACAAACCCAATAGGCGCAGGATTTCTTGACTTGTTTTCCTTCATAGGTGACTTAAGAGTTAACAAATTCCTTTTAAAACGTTGAATACATTTCTCTCAAAATGGTTCTTTGTGAGTATTGATAATGTTTAGTATAACTCTTCATTTTCAACTCTTAGGTTACTCTACTTACATGCTATATATTTTTCACACGATTCGCGTTTCTAATGTTTCTGTCAAACTCCTGACAGCATTTCTATATTATCGGACTTTAAGTTGCATACTGTAGTTAATCGAGATAAAATATAATCTTAAAGATTAACTGATTCTAACTCTGCTCTTCAACTTTTGTGGTGGAACTACATTTGCCTTACCTTTTGTCCACAGTTCTGTTACAGACGTTTCAAAAATGGGGTAAAGTTAATGAGAGCAAAAGTCCAGGTCGTTTGCTAAATTTTGGGAATAAGCAAAATGAGCAAAATACCAACTTTGGCTTCCCAAATATTCTTGGAGTAAAAGACTGGAAAGAATAGTTATCTCCTAAAATCTGGAAAACAGCGTGTTCAAAATACATATCAAAAAGCAAATGTGAATCAAGTAAAGGGTAAACATGGGCCAACACTTTGGCCTGCTAAGCTGTCAGCCCTTTCTCTGTGTTAACATGGAGCAGTTGGGAAACAAGTTTAAAGGGGAGGCCCAGAGAGATAATAAGGGAAAATAGGACTCAACTGGCAGGAAGATCGGCCAGCCGGTTGGAGTAACTCCCTAGTACAAGATGCCCTGTGTTTACTTTTTACTCATTTCCTTGGAGACGTTTTGCAGACATGGGTACAAGGAAGCACACTCAGAGTTTCAAGACGAAGGGTTCAAGTTGGTGTTGGTTTTATAGGTTCTAGAATGTATCCGAGGTTTTCTTTCAAAGCCAAATGAAGAGTAGTATTTCAGCGTATGTAAACATCACATTCCAAACGCTGAGAAATCCGGGTTTCCAAAAGGGGCCGGAAGCCTGCAGTTGCAGCTGTGAAGGGCAGGCCACCCCAAAATGTAAAGGCCACTTAAGAAACAGCCGGAAGAACGCCCTGCGACCCCACCTCCCGCATGTGTCTCCAGTCTCCCCTCCTTATCACCAAGGTGGAGAATTTAGAACAACCAACAGCTGTTGTTACTGTTTTACTAATTTACTCCCCCAGCCCAAATTCTGCTTAGGATTCCTTCTGACTGGGAGCTCCCGAAGTTCAGGTTTCTCCGTGCTGTCCATTCCTCACCGATTTACCGTCTCTTTGGCTAAAAGGTATAAAAAACCACCCACCTCCGTCTTGTCTTCGAGTCTCAACTTCATTATTGGGCCTTCACGTGCATGTCGTGAGCCTGAGGCTTTTTGTTTGATTTGTTTCATTTCCCCTGTTAATTCTTACACCGCCTGGAAGACCTTCAAGGGTAGAAGGAAAAAAATTCCCTCCCCTACACAGTTAAAATGCTGAAAATAACGTTTCCACGTCATCCTTTAAAATACGTACTTTCTAGTCGTTGTTTTGCCATCGAGTATGAAAATCGAATAATAATTGTAAAGGATGCACCGGGTGCCCATATGGTTTAACTTGGCGCATTTTGTACGATGTGAGGTCTCCCTTTGCTCTCTTTCTTACTTGGCTTCTCGAAGACCCTTGCTTCTTCTCAAATGGGCCCAGCCCCGCTAAGCCCCCCACTGGATGGGAGGGGAAAAAACTACAGTCCCGAGCACAGTTCTGCTACTTTCCATTCCTCCGAACCTGCCTCTACCCTTGCTTCTCCTCTCAGCCGAAGCAGCATCTGCCTAAGTTTGTGCTCTCCTGGACCCACTCCGAGGCCAGATGTCTCCGTCATGCCCCCATGAGTATTGTTGAGTTCCTCACCTGCTGGACTGGCCATTTCAGAGTACAACTTTGTTTCCAGTTTTCTGTGTGCTTATGCCCTAGAGAAACTTATGAGAACACCGATACCAGGAGTATTGAGTAGTTTGTGGATTTGCAGAAGTCCTGAGACTTTTCTCAAAATCCCTCAAAATAGTGAAGTGTACTGGACGGGGATCTGACGGGTGCACAGCCTACCGCCGATGAAAAACGAGCTGGGGATTGCAGGAGGGTTCACGTACAACCAGAGGGATTTGGGTGTCAGCCTAAAGCGGTGGGGCACCATTAAGCATTTACCACAGAAAAGCCACAGGGACAGATTTATTCTTTGGGATACTCACTCTGGTTGCCATGGAGAACGGATTGGGAGGGAGAGGAGAGGAGTTCTAGAAAGTACAAAGCTGAGGACTGGGGAATGAAGGAAGGGAGAGCCAGCAGGAAGAAGCCACTGCTATTGAGACGGATACACTCAAACAGGGCCTCCCCCGCCTCCCCTCCACGACTATCTCGACTCTCTTCTGAACATTCTCAGTCAGTCTTGCTTGTAAAGCATCCCTGAAAAGCATGCTATCGATAAAGAGGCAGTCATGACAAGTTCGGGCTGTGAAGTCAGAGGACCTACTTTCCCACTGTGGGACCTTTTTGTGTGATTTGCTTAATTGCCCTCAGCCTCAGTTTCCTCATTTGTAAAAGTAGGAATAATCGCAGAGTCGACCTCCTTAGGTTATAATGAGTGTCAAATGCAGTTCATACAAAACGTTTGGAAAGTGTCTGACTTCCTGGTCAACAGGGGCTGTACCCCTCCTCCTCTCACCCCCACTCCTCCGTGCCCTCACAGCCACCACCAGTAATGAGGAAACACATAACCCCTTATTCTCAACCCCACTGACCAGGAGGTGAGGGAGGAGCCTGAGAATGGTGAGTGATCAGGAATCCTGACCTGCTTCTCACGGATGCCCTAGGAAGGTACCATGAGTCCGATATAGAAGGTACTAGATTAAGGTGTTTCTACTCAGGTAGGGAATGTTCTCCACTTGCAGTCTGGGCTGCCAAGGAGGAAATGCACATTCCAGAATACGAATAGAAGACCCTCCCTGATGTTCTCACTAACTTACTGGGAACCCCTCTGGCCTTTAGTAGTTTTGAAGAGGGGGAAAAACCAGACAAACCTCAACTGACTGAGTTTCCTATGAACATTTTCCTTTCATAAAACATTTTAGCTCTTTATGAAAATTTTATATAAAATATTCTAAAATGTTAATCTTGGTGAAACATAGAAATAGGCTGTCCCCATACCCGAATGCATTCGAGCGTGTATTCTTTACAACATTTGAAAATCACTTTAAATCCTTGCATTTCAATCCTGAGGAAAAGGTGTCTATAAAGATAGACGTGAATCACGACCTTGAAGCTCTGAAACTTCTTAATGAACTGTCAAAGCAATCAGAAAATTGCACATCCACCACATTTGATAAGAACCTTAATTATGCCTCCCTCAAGAATTTCTTTTTGCCCTCAATCTTTCACACGGAGACGTGTAACTAAATAGAAGCTTGGCTTGGTTGATACATTTAAATAACTTTCTTTTCTTAATGTTGGTGCTTAATTTTGTGTGGATCTTTCTCAGAGTTAGCATTTAGTTAAATGCTACTTTTAGGGACGAGGCAAATGCGGGTTTTGAGGGGAAGGGTTATATAGTTGCTTTGCCTGAACATTTCAGTTCAGTTATAAAACCCCAAGGACTTAATGACCTAGATGACAGACTTTTTTTTCCTCTCTGGTTAAATGCAGTTTCCATGTGTAGCTTGAGGACTATTCTAAACTCTATCTTCCTTTGTAAATAACGTCAAACTTAAGAGGCGTGTCTATGCAGAAGATAAACGGTACGAGGAAGGACCCAGGTCCCCCTCACAGGGCTGGTACACGATTTGGCCACGAAATCACCAGTAATAGCACAGTTCTCTAGGGCATTACCCACATCCAACCCACATCTTTGTGTCCAGCTTCTCCTGCTCGGCCAGCTGTTCTCATTGCCTGACCTATGCCTCTTCGAGAGCATTCCCTCGATAAATCCTGTGTATGAGGGTCCCCGCTCCAGAGTCTGGAGAGTCTGACCAAAGATAGACAAGGCTGAGCAGTGTGCTGAGAACCCATCGGTGTGTCTGACTGATGACTTGTTGAAATCCCAATCTTTGCAGCAGCTGTTGTTTCTACAGGTTTCCCCAGGAAACACTCGGGGCTAGAGATCTGCGTGCCGGTTTACTCGAGAACACCGTCAGGAGAGACACCGGTACAAAACCGAAGGCAGCCCAGTTGGGAAGGAGAGTTGAATAGCAATGCAGTTGTGTCAGAGCCGGGATGGCCCTGAGTTGTCCCCGGATCGAGTAAGGGGCCTGGGCTTTGGCGCCCCTGCGGCGATCAAACAGCCGTGTGGGACATGCTGTAGGTGGGGCAGCTCAGGGCCCCGGAAGTCATCCGCGTCATCGGTTGTCACTCCTGGCAGCTGGAGGGATGAGGGCCTTGGTTCTGAAGGGCGACTCGGGCGGCACACCACTGTAGTCAACCCCCCGCATCACGCAGATTACTTCCTGTACCTAATTTGAGGAGAGCCCCCTGTGCCCTGCAAGATTCTAATCAGTCTCTTTCCCTGAGGAGGCCACCGAAGGGACATTGCGGGCGAAGTACAGTCTCCGTGGCTGTGGCTAGAAGGCAACCGATACTCATTGTCTCGCCCTCTCACCCCCCCCCCAACCGCCCATTCATTCCCACCCAGTACTTTTGCTAGTCTAGGTAGCCAACTGGTGTGAGGACTCTGACATTCACCTCAGAGGGGTGTGAGCCGTTGGTCACCATGCCCTTATTTATCAGCCTTTGTATGAGCACGTGTCCATTTGCTAACAACCGGGTGAGAGAATACCAAGAAGTGCCCTGTCGGTCCTTCAGGGCGATAGACATCCTTCCCAGCCAGGAAAGGTGCGTCCTGTCCTTCTGACCCCTGTCCTGGTGGGAGGAGCTGAAGGGAATGGAAGGTAGTGGGCAGATTAATGGAACTTGCG